TGATCTGTGATCACTTCTTTTCCAATTCATTTCTATGGGAGCCAGGGCTTTTTGGAGCCAGCAGCTAGCGGACGTAGTGATATTGCAGGTTTTTGACACTTCTGGGTTGGCTTCATTTTTCAGGGCCGGTTGCTACGTCCATCTTTTATACAGTCTGTGGACTAAACACAGGTACAAGACCTGTTGTTATCCATTTTTAAGGAAAATTGCATTTTAAAAAAAGGTCTCCCATCCATACAAACACACAAACAAAAATGCAAAACTACATTTCTCTTCTTCATTAGTCCTAATTTCAAACTATTAGGAGCTGCTTCTTTTTGCGGCTCCGTGACTGTCGTTCCCACCATCAGCATTCAAATCACGTCCGACTGGATGCAGTATAATGACGGCTTTTCTGAAAACTTTTTTGTTTTGTTTTCAGTTGCCAGATGTGATTCTCATTGTGATGGTGTGAGGAGAGAAAGAGATTTGCTTTTGAAGAGACAGCTTTGGCAGTAAATTGGAGAGCAGGGACTCGTGGGGAAAGAAGTTTACATGTGTGTGTTTGTGCGAGAGAGAGAGAGAAACCGAGGCAGAGCACATGCATGTGTTTGTGTATGTGTTAGCAGTTATTCAGCAATTGTTCACGCTGGTGTGTGTGTGTGTGTGTGTGTGTCCGCTCGTGTGTGTGTCTATGCCCACGTTTGTGCTTGTGTGTGCGTGAGTCCTTTGGGCCCTCACTGCAGAGAAATTCAATTTCAGTTGTCACTCACCAATCAGCTTGCCTAATTCCTGGTCTGGACTTGACTATGGAGTGTGTGTGTGTGTGTGCGATGTGTGCAAGCGAGTGTGGGCTTTTCATTTCAATACCTGCTCAATCTACGATGTTTTGTCTCCTCCTAATACAATTTGTAGTGTTATGCACTGCATGTTGCCCTAATGTCCACTTACATTTTTAAAACGCTCCTGAAGTCATAAACCAGATGTGATTTACCAACATTCAGAATCGTATTTCAACTCTGCTCTAATGCAA